TGCACCACTTGATACTGGCTCCAGATTCCCCTAGGTTTGGTGCCGGTAACAGTTACACTTAGTGTTGATATGTGTGCGATAGGCGTGTCTATCGGACATTTATAGAAATACGGAACAAATCGCGTCCTGTATCGGTTCAATACGGGACGCAACATTTAACAGCCAAATATGGGACAATTCCATATTTTATGGGACGGGTGGCAACTCTAGGCCTCACGGAGGCTTGGGCCGGCCCTGGGGGACAATCAAGGGGTAGACAGGACAACAAGGAGTTTCAATAGACACAGAAAACCTAAACAAACACAAACAAAACTCAAATTCTCACACTGTTAAACTCTCCCTCCCTGCCTGGTCTTTTGGTACCCATTTGTTCCTGCTCCAAAGCATTTCATTTGATTGTTTGTTTTTAGATTAGATCTGGTTAGGTTAATTGGTCTCTCTAAGTTGTTCTTAGGGGTGTGTGTGTGTGTGTGTGTGTGTGTGTGTGTGTGATAAATTGTGAGGACTATTTTCCTAATATTTAGCATGTGTAGACACCAAAGCAAAATCTGATCCCCACAAGGAGAAGTGTTGTTTTTGGGTCAGGAAAAATGTCTGGGTGAGGCAAAGGTGAAGTTTTTTTGTTTTTTGTCTCTAGCTCTCGGTGAAGGCAGACGCTTTTTTCCTCTGTCCCGTTCTCTACTCATTCTCACCTTGCTTGCTCTGTTTTTGTGCTGCTTTTTTGGAACCTTTCTTTCTTTCCCTCCGAATCTATAAATTATGGATCTGGTTAACTGGTCTCTCGCAATTGATCAAATTTTCTCAGCAAGGAGACTGGGCAGAGGAGACCCCACTTGTCCTGCAGGAGCACACCCACAGGGATATAGCCTGGATGTATTTGGACTCATAATAACAGGATTTCTGCTGTTTGGAGCTTGTGGATACCTGGCATATTGACAAATTTGTGATGGATTTGTAGGGTTGCTACCCATACCGTAAAATATGGAACTGTCCCGTATGGAACTGAGACGGGATGCCATTTGTTCCGTATTCTACAAATGTGTATGTACGTAATAACAAATAAATGATCCCCGAGTACTTAGTAGGCTGCCCCAGTCATTGTTTCATTCACGGTGTTGGTGCTGCGATATTGTGACCAACTGCTTTCTGGGTAACACAGACTAACTTACATGCTGCCGCCGCAGTCTAGATTTAAGTCTGCCCAATCTAAAGAGAATCTTTATTCTTAATCTGGTTCCCTTATGTCTGTCTTGGCTGGCTGGCTATCTCAAATCTCCTGGGGCCTCATGTATAAAGCGTGTGTACGCACAAAAAATGTGAGGCGCCATATTTTACACACAAGTCGGCATATATAAAAATTAACTTTGCATCACATGTTGCATAAATATACGCACACTTTTTCCCTGGTGTGAAAATATGCGGCGAACACGCAAACCTTTTCTGTGAACAATATCAATCTACAAAGTGTCAATCTCACATAAATACACTGAAATCTGACTCCTTCCAGTGTTTTTTATACCATGAAAAAACCCGATGTTTTTTTCATGATTTTAATAATTTATTGTTTAAACTGTAGAGAATAAAATCAACTAACTTCTGGCTTGTTGCATTCTCTTGTGCTCCCGGATTCAATGATGCCATGCGTGGAAACAAAAGCCACACAGAGATAATCAGCGCTCCATGTCATACATTTTCAGAGTTTATTCCAACATTTAAAAGTATAAAATCACATCGACAACACAGACACTTCAGACACACTAAAACAGAGATTCATTTCACAAGTAGAAAAGTAGGAAAATAGGAAAACAGGAAAAAGGCAAAAACCGCGTTTTTTGGAGATTGTCATGCGGCTGCAAATAGCAAATCTTATTCATTCCTCTGCGGACCATACTTTTATTCAAAAAGGGTGTTTTATTTCTTTAATGTATGCAGTTATGCAATTAAGGCGTGTTGTTTTCCTTGTACAGCTACAACCAGTTTCAAATTACTAAGTTGGGACGTCCGAAGCAATTTTATTGCCTTCTGAGACCTGTTTAATTTCAGGGCTACAGCTCTTCTCTATCTAGACAAGGGAGACCAAAGGTCATTTTAGAGCAAGCTCTTCTCATGCCAGTTTGAAATGTGATGTTACTCCTAATTCATAACTAAGCCTCTAGTCTTTTACCAGAGTTCAACCAAAAGTTAACTTGTTTTAAACCTATTTTATTTCCCTGCCGGGCAAATTCCTACAAATACTGATCTGTGCAGTAATTTTAAATTGACATGAAACCTGGTATGCAAAGTGGTTCAGAACTTCTCCATCAGATCAAAGCGCAGATTTTAAGAATTTAAACACTTACAGAACAGTTTCAATAAAAACACATTCATTCTAAACATTTTCTAATTAATGTTATTCTATTTTTGATTATATTTAACTAACTGATATTACATTTGGCATAGGTTAGAGACTCCAAGTAGTTGTTAATATAAAACTACAAATTAAACTAGTTCCAGTCATGTTAATTTTAACTAAATGGTATTCTACTAAATAAATTGCAATTATTAAAACTATTATGTGTTAGTTTGTTTTTCCTTAAGTTTTAGTGTTTCTCTGTGGGAGATAACTTGAGAAATCTCCTCCGCTGCCTGTGTGCCAGAGTTAATTCATGACATGGTTTCTTCCTGATAACAGACATTCTTTTCAGCAGGGCTAACTTAAAGCCCTCTTACTCCAACTAACCCTGCTCAATCTTTTGCCAGAGTATAACCCCATGACTGCTGGAGATTGTGGCACCAGCCCCCATCTGCAACCCTGCCAGAACAAGAGGAGAATCCTACAAGGATAACATTATTAAAGGTTTGGTGTGGGGTTAGATGAGTCAGACCAGTGTTTTCCAACCCTGGTCCTCATGGCACACTGCCCTGCATGTTTTAGGTATTTCCTTGCTTCAGTCCAGCTGATTTCAATCGATGAGTGACAGGCGTTTGCTGAACTGCAATCAGTTGAATTAGGCACATTAAAGCAGAAAAACCTCTAAAACACGTAGGACAGTGTGCCTTGAGGACCAGGGTTGGGAGACACTGAGTTAGACTGTACCATGTTGAGTTAAGGGATTTACAAAAGAATCACTTTGGAAGCATGCAAAGCATCAGTAAATGGGAACTGGACTGGACATTCCTGAGGTAACATCATTTCAGTGCTGTTTGTGATTATTTGTTTGATGTGAACATCTATCTGAGACATACCTGCTCATTGGCACGAGGCCAGAAGATTGCCATTATGAAGACAGCAGTAATTGGTGGGGCTAGAAAGCTGGTCACAGATTGGATGTACTCAAAAAGCTGTCCACTGTTGGCTGTCTGGACAACTGGAATCCACAACAGACTAACACACATCAAGATGAGGACGAAAATCCTGAACATACACATAATGTTGTTATTGTGGCATTTCGGTTGAAGTCAAAATGAGAGTAAGGTGTGATCCAGCATGCATAAAATCTTCCTGGGCACCAGACAGATAATAACCATTTGACTTCTTTTAGTTGTACTGATTATTAAATATATATTTAAGCTATATCAGTAAAAGCCTATAGAA